CCCCCCCCCCCAACCCTCACTCCCTTTTCCTCTAACCCGCCCTCTTTTTCTCCCTTTTGCTACATTCCCAAAATTTCCTCAAAATCATTACAATATCCAACAGGGCTGGCCCTAACCCTCTTTATAAACCATCCCTACCTTTTCTCGCGGCCTCATTTTCTTCAAATCGGCTTCAGCTTCAACAACCCCGGTCGTCACCTCTTCAGCGACATTTTCCACCGACTCAATCTACGATCACCACAGGGCCTAGACCTCTACTTCTCAAAGCCAAGAACATTCCGCCTCTCGGAAGTCTGTTCTATATCCTTTGCCCAACATGCATCCCATTCGTCAGAACCCAAGCGTCGCGCTTTGTGTTACTGCTATCCTTGCCTACGTCGTAACAAATAAGATATAAAAGTTTTCATTTCCCCAATTGGCCCCAGTGGTCGATGCACCACGCCGCACAGCGATCCATCGTACGCGTGAACACTCCATCCCATAAAAATTTTTACTTAGCAATTGCAGAAAGATAAATAAATAGCGGCGCGCACCAGACCGGCTGGTGCAATCATACGTTTTGTGCAAATCCGTCCAGCGACTGCCTGCTAATGATTTTCACTGCTCTGAATTTAGATTTAAAAGGTTGCACGTGGGCAGGGAATAGACTCCCAAAAATTTTAGCTTCCTAGATTCCACGGTTCCCGAGATAATAGTTTATCCGCCAAAAGTTTCACGGGGCCGTATATGTTGCTCGCGGGTATGGAAAGGCTGAATTTAAATTTTTTGGCTCACACGTAGGCAGGAGACAGACCCAAAAAATTTGAGCTTCCCAGCTTCCGTAGTTCAAGAGATAATAGTCGTTTTCACCAAAACATTTGCGGGGCCGTATGTTTTATCAGCAGGTACGGAGAAGCTGAATTTAAATTTGCGGGGTCAAACGTGGGTGGGGAACATTACCTTAAATTTTCAACTTCTTAGCTTTTCCGGTCCCTGAGTTGAAAGTTGCCGACAAGTTGCTGCGGACACACACACACACACAAGGCAACCCCGCGACAATATGCGTTTTGTGCCATTATTACACAGCATAAAACGAATAATAATTACCTTTCCTTAATTCCCGTATTATTTATAAAAAGGAGTTGGCTCAAAATATTTCGGTCTGGGCCGACAGCAAATAAAATTTGGGAGAATAACTACCATTCGGGAACGAGAGGAATACTGCTGAAGCAAATAAATCAGGGGAGGGGTACGCAGCGGCAAAGGACAAGCAAAAGCTTCTGAGATAGAAATTTACGATGGGATACCCATGCATTGCTCAAAATTGGTTTGTTGTCGAAACTTCCCCAATCAGATTGTCCAGTAGCAAAGTACGGGCACAACTGAGCGCAGAATTTGCCCTTGTCAGCTTCTGTTTCACACCAGTTGCAGCAGCGGACCGCATGCACTACTCGATGGGGAGTTGGGAAGGCGGGAGGAAGCGGGGGGAGGAAGGGGGGAGGGGGGAGAAACGGGAGGGAAGCGAAGACGAAGGATACCCACTGTAAAACGCAAAGCCGTTCCTTTCAATAATGCACGGTCAGGGACTGGGAGAGCCTGGCCACGCGGTGCTATTCTCAGCACGCCTGGTGGAAAAAGTCAGGATAATTGGCCAACGCACGGGCTGCCCGTGCGAAGATGCGTTTTTTGCTTGGCCCCCGCAGTTTTTGTCGCTACTGGTACCGGTTTTTCTGCTTCTACTAAACAAAATTAAGACTGGCCGCCAGAACTGTCAGAAAACATCCCCTTAAAATTTCAGCTTTCTAGCTTCCCTGACACCTGAGTTAGCAACTTACTGGAATAAAATTTGCACGGGTTCGCATTGCGTAGCTGCAAAAAACGCATAAAAGGATGACAGCCAACTATAAGCAACCAATTTTTTTACGGTTCTAGAAAGTGTGGGAACTGGCTGTTACATTAAGAAAAATTACAAACCTGTCCTCGCATTTTCAGTGTTTTGAAAGCCATAATATCGACAATCTGGCCGAACTGCGAGAATATAGCAAAGAGCGCTTTCTTAAGTTCTAAAAAAAATGTACTGTCCATAAGGCAATATTGAAATAACACAGAGAAAATGCAGTCAATGGGGTGGAAGGGCCTGCTTGAACAGTTTTATGAAATTGCATGGTAAAAAAAGGGCTCAAAATAGGGAAGAATGGAGAAAGTGCCAGATGCATCAATGGCGAAAAGAAACGCAATGATGAAACAGTATTTGACTGAACTGATCAATGTATTCAAGTAAGCGTGAATGTAGCCCCTGCATTTGCTCCCTCCTCGAACACTGTTCTTTAATGCGCAACATCAACGTATGAATCTGTACACTTGATATGTGAAAGAGAAGCAACAGAAGGTTAGAATAATTGGTCAGTGTAGCGACTGCCCATGCGAAGATGCGTTCTTTGTCTTCCCCGGCAAATGGTTCTGGCTAAAAAAATTGAGGCTGCCCGCCACTACTGCAAAAAACATTCCCTTAAAATTTCAGCTTTCTAGCTTTTCTAGCTCCCGAGTTCGCAATTTGCCTGACAAAAACTTTCACTGGCCTGTGCGTGGGAACCACGCACAACTGGGCGCTGGGTTTTAATCCATTAATTCCTACGTCGAATGGGAATATGTCTTTAAAATTCCAGTTTCCTAGCTTTTCTGGTCCCCGAGTTAGCAACTTACCCGCCAAAAAACTTGACGAACCTGTACGCGGGAACCATGCGGGGAAAAGCGTCCATTTTGGAGATGGGGGCCCGTGCGTGCATGTAAATTAAGTTCTCAAAGTTTCGGTCTCGTAGCTTTTGTAGGTTTTGAGGTGAAAAGCCGGTACAGACGAACAGACAGACACACACACACAGACAACCCCTTGCCAATATGTGTTTTTGCATTGCACAGCTGCAAAAAAATGCAGAAAAAAAGACGTGAAATTTACCATCTTTTTTTGTTTTTTCGTTCAAATTGTTGATGTAAATAGTATGGTTTGGCTTGTTTTCCATAACGCAGCAATCGCCTGAAAGTTAACACGGATTACAGACATGCAGCACTCTACCCCAGGGAGTATCACCAGCCGGGGCGGTTATCTCGCAGAATGGGAGACTGCCTCACACTCACCATGTGCCCTCCCTCCCCGGTTCATTTTCACTTGCCTTTCTCCAGACCCCTGCCTTTTTATCCCCCTCCCCTGTCCGACTTCCCCAGATGATCGGATCATCCACCAGCCTTTCCCTCAACCTGTCTTGGCACCCCCAGAAGACAGCTTTTGC